CAGTCCAGAAGCGGAAAGTGAAGACATGACAGTGTGAAGACATCTACAGGCGCGTGGGGTAAATGCTACATCAGGCTGTAACTGTGTCAAGGAGGAGTTATCATGAGCTTTATTGAGAATAATGTCTCAACGAGTCTTAGAAGAGTCATTGTAAACACAGCAATATGCAGTGACTTTACTTTAGAAAGGTGCAGCTTTTTGGCATGGCGGCAGTGGTAAAAAAAAAAAAAAAAAAATCAAACCCATTGCCGTTGAGTTGATTCCAACCCATAGCAACCCTAGCTGGTAGCAAACAGCAGCTTCACGTGTCAGAAACATCAAGGGCTTCATGGGCTGGTGGTGGGAGTCATTACAGCCCTCCCTGTAGGGTTGCTGGAACATACAGCAGAAAACAAACCAAAAAAGCCCATTGCCATCGTGTCGATTCTAACTCACGGTGACCCCATGTGTTACAGAGTAGAACCACTCCATAGGGTTTCCTTGAATACCAGAAAGATGTTTACCTGTGTTTTATTGACTACGCAAAGGCATTCGACTGTGGATCGCAGTAAATTATGGATAACACTGTGAAGAATGGTAATTCCAGAACACTTAATTGTGTTCATGAGGAACCTGTACATAGACCAAGAGGCGGTCGTTTGAACAGAATAAGGGGATACTGTGTAGTTTAAAATCAGGAAAGGTGTGTGTCAGGGTTGTATTCTTTCATCATACTTATTCAATCTGTATGCTGGGCAAATAATCTGAGAAGCTGGACTATATGAAGAACGCCAGATCAGGATTGGAGAAAGACCCATTAATAACGCACGGATATGCAAATGACACAATCTTGCTTGCTGAAAGTGAAGAGGCCCTGAAGCACTTACTGATGAAGATCAAAGACTACAGCCTTCAGTATGGATTATTCCTCAATACAGAGAAAACAAAAATCCTCACAACTGGACCCATAAGGAACTTCATTATAAACAGAGAAAGGGTAGAGGTTGTCACAGATTTCATTTTGCTTGGATACATAATCAACACCCATGGAAACAGCAGTCAGGAAATCAAACAACATATTGCATTGGGCATATCTGCTGCAAAAGACCTCTTTAAAGTATTGAAAAGCAAAGATGTCACTTTCAGGACTAATGTGCGCCTGACCCAAGCCATGATATTTTCAGTCACCTCATATGCATGCAAAAGCTGGACAATGAATAAGAAAGACTGAAGAAGAATTGATACCTATGAATTATGGTGTTGGCAAAGAATACTGAATATACCATGGACTTCCAGAAGAACGAACAGGTCTGTTTTGGAACGCATACGGCCAGAGTGCTCCTTAGAAGTGAGAATTCTTCATCTCATGTACTTTGGACATGTTATCAGAAGGGACCAGTCCCTGGAGAAGGACATCATCGTCGGCAAGGGAGACGGTCATCAAAAAGGAGGAAGACCCTCAGTGAGATGGACTGACACAGTGGCTGCAACAACAGGCTCAAACATAGCAGTGATTGTGAGGATGGCGCAGGACAGGGCAGTGTTTCCTTCTGTTGTACACAGGGCTGCTATTAGTTGGAGTCAACTCGACAGCACCTACAACACAAGAATCTTTATGGAAAAAGATCGCCAGGCCTTTCTTTCATGGTGCTGCTGGGCGGGTTTGAGCTGCTAACCTTTCAATTAGTTGTTAGGTTCTAGCAGATTGATTTTGACTAATAACAACCTCATGTGACAGAGAAGGACTGCCCTATAGGGTTTTCTAGGCTGCAACCTTTACGGGAGCAGATCGCCAGGTCTTTCTCCCACTGGGCACTTAACCATTGTGTCAACAGAGCTCCTGTGAGTTGTAGTTGACTCAATGGCAATAGTTTGAATCTTTACAGGAGCAGATCACCAGGTCTTTCTCCTGTGGAGACTCTGGGTGGATTTGAACTGCCCACCTTTTGGTTAGGAGCCAAGCGCTTAACTGTTGCTCCACCTGGGGACATTGAAAAACAGCAGAGGAAGTGTGAACCGGTGCTTCTGTTAGTCCTGCCAGCTTCCCCTTCTTGCCTCTCTACTTACAGTGGCACTTAGGCCCAGCAGAGCACTGAGCAGAGAGGTCACTGGATAAACGCCAGGGCTAGGGGTGGGGTGGAGGACTAACTTTCAAAGTGTGTCCCAATATTCCTTCTGAACTCACTGATCAATGGAAGCACTTTCAACTGCCCGTATTTCCTGGGATGCTGTGGGGGAATGTTCTTTGTGGGTGCTAAACATGGAGAATGAGCACCCATGTAACAGTTGTTGGATGCCGTTGAGTCGATAGCGACCCCATTTGACAGAGCAGAACTGCCCCATAGGGTTTTCTAGACTGTGATCTTTACAGGAGCAGATTTCCAGGTCTTTTACCTGAAGAGCTGCTGGGTTGGTTTGAACCGCCAACTCTTTGGCTAGCAGCCAAGTGCTTAACTGTTGCTCCACAGGGGCTGCTTCCAAATAACAGAACCAAAAAAAGAAAAAACCAAACCCATTGTCATTGAGTCGATTCCGACTCATAGTACAAGTAATAGAGGACCTGGAAAATCATGTAGCTACAGCCTCCAAAATATCTAGACAAAGTCCCAAAGCCCAAAATCAGAGTGAGATTCGGGCCTTGTTTTCCCTCTGCCATTTGTTTCTTTGGGAATCTGCTCTACCTTGCTTCTCCCCTGTTACCACCCTAACTCATCACAGGGTGATGTAGGCTTCTTGGAGGGCTTGGAAATTTTCCAGCCAGACTACTCAAAGGGCAGGTACTTCAAACGTCCTGAGAGTTTGCAACCTGATGAGGCAAAAACCTGCCTGGAGTGATGACTGTGGGAAGTGAGACTGGCTGCTAGACAACGAGTTCCCTGAGGATAGTGACTGGATCATTCCTTTTTTTAAATTTCTGGTGCCTAGCTGTTTGTTTGCTGAATGAGAGAATGAGTAGTAACACTCCACATCAAATGGTGCCGATTATTTACAAAGCACATGATCTCATCCTCACAACTGCCCCAACTTTATCCCTGCAAGGTAGGCAAAAGCGTTTTACAGATGAGGTCATATGGCTGCAGGCAGGAGAGGTGGTTTTTCAGACTCTAAATTCATGGTCATTTTTATACAGGTGGCACAAACAATTACGCACTCAGCAGCTAACTGAAATCTGGCAGTTCCAGTCCAATCAGAAGCACCTCTGAAGAAAGATCTGGTGATCTACTTCCAAACATTAGCCATTGAAAACCCTAAGGAGCTCAGTTCTACTCTGACACACACAGGGTTGCCATGAGTGGAACTGACTTGACAGTGAGTGGTTATTGGTTGTTTCTATAGTACCCTGCCAAAGGACTAAGAAAAATTTGAATAGAGAGATTCAGATGGATATTGGTAGCTTCTGCCTTGTGTTCCTAAACCTGTTGTTGTCGTTGCTGTTAGGTGCCCTGGAGTCAGTTCCGACTCATAGAGACCCTACGTACAACAGAAGGAAACGCTGCCCTGTCCTGTGCCATCCTCACAGTCATTGTTATGCTTTAGCCCATTGTTGCAACCACGGTGTCAATCCATCTCTTTGAAGGTCTTCCTCTTATTCGCTGACCCTCTACCTTACCAAGAATGATGTCCTTCCCCAGGGACTGATTCCTTCTGATAACACGTCCAAAGTATGTGAGACGTAGTCTTGCTGTCCTTGCTTCTAAGAAGCATTCTGGCTGTACTTCTTCTAAGACAGATTTGTTCGTTCTTTTGGCAGTCCATGGTATATTCAATATTCTTCACCAACACCATAGTTCAAAGGCGTCCATTCTTCTTCTGTCTTCTTTATTCATTGTCCAGCTTTCATATGCATATGAGGCGATCGAAAACACCATGGCTTGAGTCAGGGGCACCTTAGTCTTCAAGGTGACATCTTTGCTTTTTAACACTCTAGAGAGGTTTTTTGCAGCAGATTTGCCCAATGCTATGCGTCGTTTGATTTCTTGACTGCTGCTTCCATGGACATTGATTGTGGATCCAAGCAAAATGAAACCTAAACCTGGGGTAGACATATTTTTCACCTATGACTCTCAATAATGTCATAATTTTAAGCTATTTGCTAATCATTGCAGATGTTTCCAGTTGCCATTGAGTCAATTCTGACTCATGGTGACCCCATGTGTGTCAGGGTAGAACTGTGCTCCATAGGGTTTTCAATGGCTGATTTTTACAGAAGTAGATTGCCAGGCCTTACTTCTGAGGCATCTCTGGGTGGACTGGTACCTCCAACTTTTCTGTTAGCAGCCGAGCACGTTGACAGTTTACACCACCCAGGGACACTGCAGGCGTATAGGTTTTCAATTACATTATGAGTTAAATAGACTTTAGGGACTAGCCTGTTAAACTAGTGAATCCCCATGTTTGTAATAGCCATTTCCTGATACAGATTTGGCACAACAACTATTGTATCTAATGTAGTTTTTGATAAGTTCAATTAACTGGACTGTAGCTTTATAGCCCAGGGTCTTGAAGAAGCACATGTTCGAACATTCTCACTGCTTAATGAGATCCCTGTTTCTGCTGAACCTCTGTGACCTTATTGGAAATCAATGATTGCTTCTGATCTTCTAAATGTAATTGTGAGGAGACCTAGATGAAATCACTGTACAAAATGCTTTGAGATTGTAGGACGTCTGGAGAGCATGCTGTAATTAAAAGAAATCATTCTGTCTGAAGGTATACCTTCCTAAACTCTGTGTGCAGATAGTGCTTGAGGGAATTTCTCTCTTCAGAATCATTTACCTCAAATAATGCTTGATCACAGCACTCTTGGTATAAGGTATCACCTAACTCCTGGTCAGTAGCTCATCTCAAGCAGGGAAGGGAGCTTGCCTTTCCTAGCAACTGTTGCTACGAGGGGCGTGGCGAGGACGCGTTACGTGCCCCCCGCCCCCACCCGCGCAGACTACAATTCCCATGATGCTCGAGGGTGGTCTTCGTAGAGACGCACTTGGTTGGGGCTGGAAGCGGCGGCTGCGGGGAGGGGGGGGCGTACTTTCTGCGTGTCGCCGACTCCAGCTGGGGCCGCTGCCGCCGCCGTCGCCGCCGCCGCCGCCATGTTGGCTTGAGAGGCGATGACAGGAGGCGGCTGCGGCGTCTCGAACTGAAAAGTGGCAGCGGAGGAGGAGAGACAGAACTCTGAGAGGAAACAATCGCCGCGTCTTCCGGGGAGCTCCGCGGGGAGGGGAAGGCGGAGACGGGGAGGCGGTGGCGCGGGAGGCGGGGGAAGACGAGGCGCCCAGAGAGCAGGCGCTGCCGCCGCCGCCGCCGCTGTCTAGAGGCGCCCGCAGCCTGACCCGAGGCGGGGGCTCCCGTCGGGCCGAGCTCGCTTCACGCTCCTCCCGGGGCTCCGCTTCGGCTGCAGACAAGTTCCATGCCCTTGAGCGCGCGGCGCCGCGGCTCGGCTGTCCTGCCCCGGCGCGCGACCTGAGCCGTTTCCCCGCGCCCTCCGCGCGCTCCTCGGCGGCCCCTCGCGCCGCCCGTGTCGATGTGTAGCGACATAGTTATCTGTGTACTTACACACCGGGCATTTTCCTCCTGCCTAATGAGGACTTGACTCGGGAGCGACCGTGAATCATCGCCGGGGCAGGGAAAGGAGGAAGGCGGATTTAACTCCCTCCCACCCGCTCCATGTCCGTGTGTCACTCGGCGGGGTCCACCTGGCGCGGCCGGTCCTGGGGCTGCTGCTGTTGACGACGACGACGACGACGGGGCTGCTGCTTCTATCCCGGAGTCTCCGCTGCGCCGGCCAGACCCAGCTTCTGGGGACTGTTCCTCTTGTCGCCTGCACCTCGGCCAGGCGGCACTTGGGTTCCAGAATAACTTCGTTTTTGGAAAGCACATCGCGAACCCCTCCAAATCGTGAAGATTTCTTTCTGGAGCGTGAAGATTTCTGCTCTTTTTGTTTGTTGTTGTCTTTTTTTTCCTAACACATCTGGGTATCTATCAAACGGCAAGATGTCCAGTAATGTCCCGGCGGATATGGTAAGTGGAGGAGAAATGCTGGCAGGATTTGATTGAATTGTGGTTTCCAATCCTGTTTTATCAGAAGGGCTGCAGGCATGGGGTGAAGGTTTGCGGGGGACTGTTGGAAAGCCACTGTGCTGGGGGATTTGCAGAAGTTGGTGCTTCTGGTTTTCCTCTTTTCGAAAGTATAGTTTTTTAGTCTGGATTTTCTCATTTGATTGTGTTTTTACACCATCGGAGACAGTGGGGAAAATGGAGCAAGGTATCTTGAAGTGGAGAAAATCTCTCTTTGCGAGAAGCCTCGGAAACACTGGTATCTTAACGCTTCGAAAGCGTCGGTGACAGTGGGGTGTCCCTAGGAGCCACACAGGGAGAGAGGGAAACGGGAATCGAACCGCCATGACCGAGGAGAGAACATCCATGCTGTAGGTGCACACTTGGTATTTTTTCAAGAACAGGGATGTCCTTTAAGGAAAAGTCTACTCCAATTTGTATTACTGCTGAGTGCTTTTGGAAATTTCCGAGTGAGCAAGTGTGGCATCGGGAGTACTAAGACGTTTTGGAGTTTTCACAAATCTAGACAGATCTTTCAGTGAACATTCCAGGACTTTTAGTACCAAATATTCGACTTTTACAGCTGATGGAATGTGTTTTTCGAGTCTTTATCATTGCGTGTTTGGAACTTGAAACAGAAAGTCCTCTTATTTATTGACGCTTATCTTCTTGTTTGTAAAGGTTGAGGTTGTGACTGTTGGCTATCAGTAACTGTAGGCTTCCAGTGCTGGAGGGTGGGCTAGTGTGACTGTGAAATGACACTTTGTAGCCGGGAGGGCAAACATAATGCAATTAACAAGAAGACGAATAATCCTGTTTATGAAAGAATTGAAGTTAACATAGTTATGCTCACTTTTATTGAGTTAACGTTTGAGTGTGTATTCCAGTGAAAAAAGGAAATTGAATTTTGCTGCTGATTAAATTTCAAAAAATGTCAGATGTTTCCATAGTAGCAAACTTTATTTACAGATATTGAATAAAAAATTAAATTCCCCTAAACGACACATTTTGACCTTGGTTTAAAAACATTTTGCTTCTGTCTGCTTTTCCATTTAATGTGCGATTTAAATGCAAGGAACCACAACGATCTGCCTCTCGGGTGGCCACACAGCAACCGTACGTACACTCTCCTTCCTGAGTCTTAAAACCCATGCATTGTCCTTTGGGTTTTCCTTTCCTTTACCGTGTGCACGCATGAAAATGGTCTGCCTGGTTCAGGGCGGCTGGCCATGATTTCCTCCACGTTGCTCTGGAAGTTGGCTGGGGAGGTCTCTAGACAGAGCTGTGAAATGCTAGTTCTTGTGTTTGATGAGCACTCTGTGAACTCATCCCCTCCAGCAAAGATCTACTCTTTCTGAAGCCTCCATTTTACATCACCATGCACCCTGCAGGATATGTTCACCCGAGGTACTGTTTATTCTGTTACGGAAATTGTCATGAAATAGATTTCTGTCATTAAAACAGTGCCACTACTTTCTTTAGGCCCAGCGATGAGGAAGAGCTGGAATGTGCGTAGTTTCAGTCACAAACTGAGATGATTTGGGGAATAGGTACTGCTTCCAAGTCAGAATGGGATCGGAAGCTACTGTTCACATCAGGGAACTTGGAAGTAGTGGCAAGGTTTTGTTACACTAATAAAATAATAGCTGCGTTTATAAAATAGAACTATTTCTGTTTTAGACTGTATTTTAAGGCCTTGAGGATTTTTGTGGTGCTTTGAGATCGCTTGATTAAAGGTGATATGCAAGGGCAAAGCAGTATTATGTAATAAACATATAATGCCCTGATGATGCGATTTCAGGGCTCAGATTAGATTGTTCTGAGTATTTTTTATGTCTCCTTTTCTATCTGTTCAACTTGTTGGAGGTCTTGAGATTATTTTTCCTGGGTTAAAGGTTTGTAAACCTTCATTTGCTATTACTTAACCTTGTATTTTTGCTTACAAAGTGCTTTCGTTTGATATGCGCCTAGAATTCTCAACTTTTTGAAATATAACATGATAAATACTGGTTAGAAGTTGTTGGTTAAGTACTTCATATTTGCTACACTTTTCATATCAATAATTTACAATCTGAATTTACATTCATGAGTTAGAAATGAGAACAATTTTACCGCTCTTTGAATCTTGAAAAGCCAGTCTCCTTACCCCTACCTCCCATCCACAAACAAAGTGACATTTCTTTGCATCTTAGCTCTAAATTGATTAGGATACATACTGTTAGAATCCAGGAAACTTGCAAGTATGCATAGGTAGGTTTTGCTAGGTGAAGTAAAATTTTAAGGTTTTTAAGCGTTGTCAGTCAGTATGTGCAATTTAGAAACCAACGTTTCGCTCTTTTATATTTTGATGGTGTTTGTCAGTTGTATAGGAATAATCCTATTCGACGGGTGGGGTGGAGGAAAAACTACTGTCATGGTTTCATTAGAGATAATCCATTCATGAGCTACAGTAATTGCTAAATTGATTAATGTTTTTGGTAGAGTTGTCTCAGGGTTATGATTCTGACTCACTTTAAAATCGATTTTTTTTAATCATTCCTTTTTGTTTTGTAAATATAACTCACCTTTAAAATTTATTTTTCAACGTTTAATAAATTTTTGTTTACCATAAGGAGTCTCATATTTTTAATAATCCAAACTTAGCAAGTCAGTTGTTTTGGAGGGGGAGTGGCATGCCTAGTGAATGGATTTGCTGTGCTCTTTTAGAAAAATAACTTGCATTTGGTACTTTTCCAGTTAACATTCATTAAAAATATGTCCTATAAATAGTATCAATATTTTTGCATAAAATACTGGTTTTTCTTTTGCTAAGAGTAGTTGAGTTTGAACTAAGATTTACTAATATCTCAGTGTAATTTATTTGTGAAACAAATCTGAAAATAGCCAAACAGGATATCATTATAATACATTATTTAAATGATTCATTTCCTTTTTTTTTTCCTCAGCCAGAATCATCGTTCATAATGAGGCAGTATTCATTGTTTATGACTGTTGCATGGATTGTGTTAATGACTGTAGATTTTCTGCTAGAAAACTATTTGCCCCCTATATTAGCAAGGCCTGAATCTGGGTAGATAAGGTGGTAATTTTGTTTTCGGGATTGTCATTTCTGGAAAGTTATCAAGAAATAAAGTATTGTATCTATAAAAGTATCATGTACAATGTGTGAGCTACTATTTAGAGCTTTGGACTAAAATTATACTTTACAATATCTTAAATCTGAAAAACCTACCTAAGAAAGGAATTGGCACTGTGAGAATAATGGCAAAGCAATTTTGGTATTTGAAACATTTTAGTTAATAAAACATTTAAAGAAAAGCCCTGTATCTTTTAAAGCTGTTAATGTTGAAATTATAGTAGATGCAGCATTTTTAGTTTTGAATTAAATAAGATAATGACAATTTGAATTTTTTCAGTACATTTTATGTGCTTAATGAATACTGTGATTTCTGTTATCTCTTCCATCTGTGGGAGAAATATTGGAGCCCTCTGGTGGACAGCAAATAACAAAAATGAATTTCCTTTCAAATTGAACTTTTATCATTTTTTCAAGTTAAGGTGAGGTGATAGATGTTGTTTATACTAGAGAAAAATTGCCTTTGCTAGAAAAAGGTCCAGAGAATAAATTAGAATACATTGAGATCTAACGCCCCCCCCCCCCAACACTTTTCTCTCTTTACTTACAGCTCTTCTTTCCCTCTTCTGCTAGAGATCTTACATCAAGTCTAAGTTGGGAGGTTTTCTGAAGCTAAAGAGTGATAAGTGCCACTTACATATATAAGTGTGTGAATTGATGAACAGCTTAATAAATGCATCTGTAACTGGATGTTTCTCCAGGTTGTTTTATTTGGATGTGCCTTATATTTGGGGTTTTGAAGTACACATTTTTATTAACAAAACAAAAGACAAAGTATTTTTCTCTGCTTTGAATGCCATTTCCGTTCCAGCTCTCTGAATCCTTCCGTACCTCCTGTCCCTCTCCTCTGTGAAAACAGTTTAGTTCATTCTAACCCACAGTGATCTTTCCTTCCTGTAAACTGTTTCCTATCAATGTCTTTGACATTCTTTTACAATATAAAACTTATATGAATATAAAATCAAAAAACCAAACCCAATGCCATTGAGTCAATTCCAACTCATAGCGAGCCTATAGGACAGAGTAGAACCAGCCCCATAGGGTTTCCAAGGAGCAGCTGGTGGATTTGAACTGCCAACCTTTTGGTTAGCAGCCATAGCTGTTAAGATCTGCACCCCCAGGGCTTCTATATGAATATAAATCATATTTATTCTATCTCCCATACTTTTTAAAATAGAATAGAGTTTTAATTAAACTATATTGAATTTTCTTGACTGAGGAGGCATTATTTTCTTGTTAATTATGTTGTTTGTTGCTGTTAAGTGGATTCTGACTCATGGCAACCCCATGAGTGCACCGTAGGGTTTTCAATGGCTGTGACCTTTTGGAAGCAGAATGCCAGGCATGTCTTCCAAAGCACCTCTGAGTGGGTTTGAACTACCAGCCTTTCCACTAGTAGTTGAGTGCTTAACCATCTGTACCAACAGGGACAGGTAAATATGCTCCATACTGGTGCTACTACTGTTAATTAGTAATGGTGTTAAACACGAAGTCTGTGATGTCTCCTTCTATTGTTGTTGCTGTTAGATGCCGTCAAGTCAGTTCTGACCCATACCGACCCCGTGTACAACAGAACCAAACGCTGCCCAGTCCTGCACCATCCTACAGTCATTGCTGTGTTTTAGCCCATTGTTGCAGCCACCATGGTGTCAGTCCATCTCATTGAAGGCCTTCCTCTTTTTTGCTGACTCTCTACTTTCCCAAGCATGATGTTCTTTTCCAGGAACTGGTCTTTCCTGATAACATGTCCAAAGTACATGAGATGAAGTCTCACCATTCTCGCTTCTAAGGAGCATTCTGGCTGTACTTCTTCCTGGACAGATTTGTT